CCGAGACCGCATAGAGAATTAGAGGCGGCGACTGCGGCTGCCGTGACGACCGAGGATGAAGTCGACATTGAGCATTCTTGAGACGACGCCTGACAGCACGGCATCAGTTGCGGCAGAGAGAGACAGACAGACTGTTGCTGGTGGTGCTGTTGGTGCTGCAAACTTTGGCCGGTCAGTGATGGTGGTGGGGCGGAGATATGAGGACCCGTGTTGCCAGGCGAGGCGACCTCGCCAGGACAGACGCCGTTGGAGCCAGGCGAAGAGGAGTTGGTGCCAGTTGCCGGGTTGTAGAGCAGAGAGTCTCTAGCCGCGCTGGCCGTTAGCGGAGTTGGGTGATGATAGTCGTTGGTGGATAAAACTCCAACCGATGGAACGCTGCCGGCGCGTGGGGTGGGACTGGTGACGGGAGTGAGACAGGCCGGAGTCCTCTCATCTCCAGGCCTGCTTGTACCGCCACTTGGTACCAGCAAAAGCGTGCGCTCCGGCCCCGATGAAGGCCGCAGCGAGCCGACGGCCGACGAATGACCCGACTCCGCGTCTGGGACAGGACTTATTGCGCCTCTGCCGATTGTGAGGCCAGCAGGAACGCTGGAAGAGTCTGTGTTTACCAGAGAGTTGGGGATTGAGTTGGTGGGTTGGCAGGCGGCCAGAGAAGCCAGATGACTGGAGAATAGGGCTTGGTAACCGTTTGAGGGGTGGGAAAGATGCGACGACTGACAGACCAACGGCTTCGGCTGCTGATGCTGGAGAGGAGCTTGTGATAGCATGGAGGAGGCAGAAAGGCCGGACAGTGCAGGAGGATGTGGCGGAGCCAGGCTCTGGGGAAGATGAGGCATATGCGAGACAGAAAGTTGGGCAGGCTGAAGATGTAAATGCGGCTGGTGTCCGACTGACTGAAGCAGTTGATGATTCAGATGGCCCGATTGATGCTGATGCTGATGCTGTGGCACATGCGAGTGCTGGTGATGTTGCTGCTGCTGCTGATGATGATGATGATGGTGTGAATGAGCGTGGTGCTCAGACAAATGATGCAAACTCAGAGATTGACCGTGCAACTGGAGGGTCTGCGGGCCGCCTGATGCCTGACTATGCTGTCCCGCCAACTGATGTTGATCCGGGTTCCTTGAGCCGCTTGGATGTGCCACATGCAAGCCGGGCAATTCGGCATTGTGATGCCTGGGCATCAGAGATTGGCTCGTCAGCGACAGACTATGTTGGTTGGGATGTTGGGTGAGGTGCAGCTGTTGTTGTAACAGGTGCTGCTGTTGTTGTGTGTGCTGACTGTGATGCTGAGGTTGGCTCAGGAGCTGTGCTGGTGGTGCGACCAGTTGCTGCGAGAGGTGGTGGTGCAGATGTTGTTGATGTGAACCAGCCAATGTGGCGTCCGTGGTGTCGACCAGGGCAGTGGCCAAAATGGACCCAGACTCGTCGGCCAATTCACCAGAGCCCTCCGGACCGACCGTCTCCGGATCGGCCTGATCGCCTTGGTCGCCTTCAGCCTCTTCCTCGTCGTCGTCGTCGGAGACTTCGTCGGCAAAAACGTCGGAAGCATTCGAGGATGTGCCTCCTCCACCGGTGCCACCACAGCCCCCGGCAACTGGAGCCGTTGTCCCACTACCATGCACACTGCTCGTGACCCCAGGTAGAGCATGGGCATCAAAGGCCCCGCCGCCACCACCACCAACACCACCGCCTCCATTACTGCCGGCAAGGCTACTGAGGTCTGGGACACCACCATGGCCGAGACAAATTGACTTATTCTCTTTTTTTGTCAGCAACTGAATGGCAGAAAACAGGAAGGTACAATGATAAATATAAGAAGATGAGCAATATCACAGTCGGAAGTACGAAATTAAAAGTATGAAAAAGCATATCATGGGAGATCGCATGGATGGGCAATTCATCGGACAGGAGGCTTCTGCTGTTAAAACTTCGACTAGATGACTTACCAATATGCCAAATTTTCAGGTAGAGGACAAGCCTCATACGGATAATCACCAGGTGGTAGGACAGAAAATAGAAACCAGTAAAAAGTAATATTGTGTGGAAGAAAGACCATGGAAAAAAAAGCAGAAGTAACCGACTTAAGAACCAACAAAGATAAAAATATACTTATGCCAATTTTGGCTATGATCATACTACTTACTTGGCACCATTAGCCTTTTCGAGAGCTTAGATATGTCCATGTTTACTGAAGGTTAGAAGACCTTCAAAAGTATCGTAATAATACTTAAAGGAAGCTCATAAAACAGCAAGATATAGATTGATTCTTTGGTCGCCACCAGATTAACCTCCAATAATAGTGGTAACAAACGACCAAAATACAAGTTAGTTGATATGCCTTCTAACGTGTAAAGCATCAAGCGTCAATCGTCGATTCATAAATAATACTTGATCTTTGGCAATTAAATCTACCTCAACACTTTATGGCTACCTTTCACAAATATCGACTGGCAAACATATCTCCGTCTGCTTTTTCTGTAGTTACACAAGATCGTGACTTAATCCACTACTTTGTACCATCTTCACTTCAGTTAACTGTAGGAGACCAGAAAAGCTCAAGTGTTCGTCTGGAGACAACCAAGTTCAGTCACACAAATAGAACAAAATGTAACTTCGGCATCTTGAGAATGCAAAAGGGCTTTTATTAAGCAATTTGCATACCAACACTGGTTTAAAGTAGTAGAATGAGTATTGATAAAATAAAATCAAGATTAAAAAACGTTTAATAGAAGGATAAGGGAAATGTGTGTTGTGGAAAATGTAGTAACAAAGCAAAAATCGAGATCCAAACAAAACTTTGTTTGCCCTTCAAACTGCATCAGGCCATTAGTGCATCATAAAATAAGCAATCTTGAAGCATCCATAATATTTTAGCAATAACCGCTAATAATAGCCATGGTAACGCTAATTCAAACTCTTCCAGACGAAGATCCTTATATTGTCTTTAAAATTGCTTTTTTTTCTGAAATAGCGAAAATTCCCATTCCGACAGTGACCAAGCCTAGGTTAAAAGCAAGACTATGGAGCTCTTATTTACACTCCAATCTACGTAGCCTTCATTTCTAGTTATTCATAAAAATTTGCACAAAGGCAAAGGATTGAAAGAGATTAATGTATTCTAGAAGTTTTATTTGACTTCCAACTGAATGTGTGAATTAAGGAGACAAAATATATTTCAAGGAATGTTATTATTATTATTATTAATATTGATTAGACAACTCAAAGACGCGGATATCTAGATTAGATAATATTTTTCGAGGTCGGTCACCGCTTATTTTCCCTCAGAGTTCGCTAAACTTTAATCTGCTATTCCCAAATGCCTAAATAAAGAATTAGACGAATTAGCCAT